CAGCCCCGCGGTGCCGCCGAGCCCGCCATGCCCAGGCCGGGCTGCAGGGGGCGCAGCGCGGCACCGCCCCTCCTCGGGCCGCGGCCTCTGCTGGCGCCGGCGGTGGGCGGGAGCGGCCGGGCCGGGCCGGGCGGGCCCGGAGCCGGGGCCATGGCGCTGCCTGCGCTGTCCAGCTCGGCCGTGAATTTCCGGCGGGTCCTGGCGCACTTCCCGCAGGATCTCAGCCTGGCCTTCGCCTACGGCTCCGGGGTGTTCCGGCAGGCAGGGGCCTCGGCCGAGCACGGCGAGGTGAGCGCTCGGGCCCCGCGGCGTTCCGGGTGCCGGAGCCGCCTCCGGCCCTGCGGTGTGTGAACGGCGAGGGGCGAAGATTGCAAACCCTGAGGGAATAGCGGCGGGGCGGGTGTCCGGTCCGGGCCCAGGGGCTGCCCGGGGTGGTCCCGGCAGTGGGGTTGTCRTTGTGGGGGGCTCGGGGTCCCCTTTCAGCCCAGTGTGCTCAGACTGTCACATAATTTGCCACTGCTTTTAAAGAGTCATTTACAGCTTGTCCGATCTGCTGTGCACCTTATGAGATAAATTTAAACTATACTGCTGCACTGAAATGGCAGTCGGTGGGCTTCCTTATCATCCGAGGGTCAAGAGCTTGGGAATAATGTTTATTTTTATTGTTTCGTGTGTGTGCTTATGTGTTCAATATTTTAAAATTATCAGTACACAGTATTGCTTATTATGGCTTGACTACTAAGCACTCACCCCAAATATGACTTTAAACGTGTCACATTTCTGGAAAAACAGGATAGTAAGAATTCCAGAGCTCTAACAGTATTTCATCCTCACACAAAAGAATGGGAAGAGAACATAGCAGATTATATTCTTAGTARTATGAATAGGTTAGTTAAGATGCTGCCCACGATTAATAAGCCACAGAGAGCAGTCCTGGGGAATTTGAAGCARCACCACTTCAAATAGCAGTTTTTTGTAGGTACAAGTTGTGAACTCTCAGCCTTTCTGWGTGCAGGCAATGCGTGYGTGGGCTGGTYTSTGAAGAAGAGAAACACTGCATGCAYTGTAGGTTAGAATTCTGGAGTTTGGGTTGTTTTGTTGACAAAAGCATAGAAATACACTAGAAAGGAATATGCTAGAAACGCAGTTCCTTGCTGACAGCTCTAGCATGTGCTTTATCTACCCACATCCCTCCATTCATGGCCTTGCAAATTGCCAGAAGTGCTGTTTATTAGCACTGTGAGCTGTTCTGCTGAACTTGTGAAGTAGGGTGGTGGAGAATCTTACAGCTGCTCCCTGTTTTGGAGGGTTGAACTTCAGACATGACCAGGACAGGAAAATTTTGGACTGTCTGATAACCTGACAAAATCCTTACAATTTCATTAGAACCTTTAAACAGGATCTGACATTGATACTTATGTTTTGGGTTTTATTTTTATTTTTTCCTCATGAAAAAATGATTAGCTGGAAGTTTAATACTGTGTCTKCCTTAAATTATTATGGTAACATTGGCTCTTCTTGACATATAAATCCCAACACTGTTTCTGTTATCCTCAGAACAATGTGCTGGACTTCGTGTTTGCTGTTGATGATCCTGTGAACTGGCATACGACGAACTTGTTAAAGAACAGGAGTCATTATTCCTTCCTAAAATATTTTGGGCCTAAAAAGATAACTACCATACAAAAATATGGAGCAGGGATTTACTACAACACGTTAGTGCCATGCAATGGCAGGGTAAGTACAAAGTAGTCTGAGTGAATTAAGTCAAGTGTTTATGTCTGTGAAGTATTAAAATGATTAGCTTAAAGCAGAATTCAGGAAGCAAATATTGTAGGTTGTAATTKTAGATTAACTCGTGATATCTTCAGTATTTATGTCTCAAACTGCTTCACTAACAGCATTTTAATTAAAARGCAAACAGAGCAGCAGGTCTTGCACYTTAAAAGTGKGAGCAGTGTTTGAAACTTACAGCTRAAGCATTTCAGGACCTGGATTTATGTTCCTTAYCACTTGCTGTTTGCCAGTTTTGGTGGGGGTAAAGTTTTGGTGGTGCTTAATGTCAGCACTTGACCATGTAGTAACTGCAAAGAGGACTCTTGCTGTTTGTTCTATCTAAAATGCAAGTTCCAACACAAATTTGAATTGATATTTGTGTTTTTTAATGTCTGGCATCCTGACCTGTGAGGCTTGGATGTAATTAATATTCTGGTGAGTGGTCCTTGTCCAGCAAGTTCTGCACCTCTCTGTTTGGTAAGGAGGAGGGAGGGAAGCACTCTGTCAGTTCAGTCTTAGTGTTCTTGTCTCTATGAGATTTTGGGATTTAAATTTTATTTGTTTGATGGAAAAAGGAATTTAAGATTTCATCTGAAGGACCAGTGGGCTTTGCCAATTGTGTTCTTGGCTCTTTATGCCTTAGTCTCATGCTGTAATGACTCAGTCATGTCACAGTCTGTGGTCCTTTGTTATCCAGAAATTCTGGAGCTGGCTMCTTTGCTGTGTTGATAATCTTTGGAAATTCAGGTGGTGCAGATTGGTAACAAACTGTTTAAAGTCCCATCCTTTTTCCAGGTACATAAAATAAGCCACAATGTTTTTTTCCTAGCATCAAAGAGCAGAAGAAAAAGCTTCTTGATACACACCCCACTTCCCAATGAAAGTACACATAAAATGTTTGGGGGTTTTAATTTAGGTCTCTGACAAACTATTTCTTGAGTTTTTTCAGTGTCATAAAGGATAACRTAGATTATTCCAACTATTGTAATATTTGGCTGCTAACTTTATTGCMACTTTGATTCTAGAAAGGATCTTAGTGTTTCGTGCATTCCATTTTTTTCCCTGAAGAAGTTTGTATGTAAATAGGAGATTTTTCTTTCACCTTCTGTGTTAATTAAAACATAGAAGTGTTTTCCTATTATGCATCCAGTTTTGTATGGAGTATATGTTCCTTAGAACAATGACATTTATGGCAAGTGGTAAGTTTCATGTAGGGAAAATGCAGCAGGTATAGGTTTTTTCAAAAGCCTTTCTTTTGCTTTTTTTCCCAGACGATAAAATATGGAGTAATTAGCACTGATGCCCTGATTGAGGATTTGTTTCACTGGAAAACTCTTTATGTYGCTGGGCGCCTACAAAAGCCGGTAACTGCTCACTTTTCTCTCTGGAAATGCAGGAAATTACAAGGCTGGGAAAGAATCAGTTGGAGTTTGAACTTTATCTGTTAGGGATCTGTGCAGCAGTACTGCACAAATAATCTGCCCTGATTTAGGAGTGTAGCCCTAGAGGGATAATCTCTCAGAAAGGTGGTRAAATGTAGCTCTTAATGATGTTCTGTGTTATGTGGAAAGGACCCCTAAAGGTGAGTATATTAATAATAGTTTTCTGTCTGTAGTAAATCTTGAATAACTGGACTCTATTAATGYCAAGTCCCTTTAATGTTAAATGTATTATTTGCCTTTTATAGCAGATTATATGGGTGGCCAAAATTTAACACAGATAATATATGGATTCTTTAAAGATGAAAATTGCTTTGCTGGGTAGTTACTGTCTGGTTCACAATTGAGTGAACCATGGGTTCTGCACGTTGGTTTTTCTCCTCCATATTTGTGTCATAAAAATGAGGTCTTTGCTTTCCCCCTTGCACGTGACTCAATGTGCTTTCAGCAGATGGCAGCAGTGCTAAGGGAAAATTTGTTGCAGGGGRCAGAATTAGAGAAGAAATCTCTTCAGGTCTTGGAACAGATGTTAATTATGCTTTTAACTAAAAAATGTGGAGTGAAAGTTTGAAAAGATTGTTTCAGACTATTGGCTTTATCTCGAGAGACATATTACAGCATGATCCAGGTTAGAGCAGCTGTTACCTTTGTAAAGAATGGAACTTAATATATTGAGAAAGATAACTGAAGGAAGAATTCTGAATGTCACATCAGCTGTGAATAATGAATAGCAATTTTCAGTGTAACTGCATTTGCTGCTGCTTTGATTTGTGCCATGGTACAGTGAGTATAAGTTCTCTGTACTCCGAAAAAGGCTTCCTTAACTTTGGTGCTCTTTCAGATTTAGCCCAAGAATCAACACTAATTCTTGTTGCACCAGGGTGATAGCTATTGCACTGTGACTTCCTGGGAGATTTGGAGCTCTCTGAGCTGTTGACAATTTTGTTCATAAATGCTGTCAGTGTTTCAGGTGTTCAGATTGTGAAGCCTGGTGTATTATTTTCCTTTGGAAAAAACTGTTTTGTATTAGGGGGGATTTTGAGAAAAGGAGGAGGTTATTCCTTTTGTTTCACCAAGGCAAGGCTGGGGTCTTCCATGAGGAAGAATAGCATCTCTGCTGAGTTTAACATTTTATAAGGCTGTAACTGTGGTGTCCTTAACRTGTCCATAACTCACTGGTATTTCCATGTCAGTCCTAAGGTATGGCAATCACCTGTGTGACTGCTTGGGGTGCCACAGATTTTTCTGTTCTGACTTCCCTTAGATTTCCCTGTAACAGCAAGTTATGAACATATGTACAAGTGAATTGRTTGATGAGATTTTAAATATTGATTTATCCTCATGACCAGCCTGTCTTAATTATTGACTCTTTTTTTGAGCAAGTCTATTGTAAAATAGCAGAATGGTTTGAGTAAGAAGAGATCTTAAAGCTCATCTTGTTCCARCCTCCTGCCCTGAACACCTTCCACTGGACTGGGCTGCTCCAGTAAACTTCTGCCACAGTTTTCAAGGAAATATMATTTACTCTGGAGAGTTTTTGTCATTGTCTTTCATTGCAATGCTAAAAAATACAAAGTAATTTGCAGGARAAGTTAGGAGGAATTATGAAAGGTTTACTTGTACAGTGAACTCTTCATTTTAAAAATTAAAACCAAAGAAGGGTGTTCAGAAATCCCCCTTGGACCAATTCCAGACTATCATAAAGATCTGCTATTAGACAAACCTATGCTTTGGTCAGAATGATTGAAACAAGCAGCCTGTTGTATCCAATATCATATCAAAATGAGATATTACACCATTTTGTGCCTCCTAAAGATTTTTCCATAACTGAAAGGTATGTATTCAATACTGAATACAGTATCGATCAGCCATGACATTGCTTTACCAGTGTCCTTTCTACAAGGAGAACTGTCAATACAAGCAGATATGTCTGACTCTCCTACTTTCTTTACTGAATCTGGGTTTGGTTTTGTGCAATTTTCCCCCTCATTAGCAGGCTATTTACATTCCTAAAGAAAAATAGTTACTTGAAAGGGTGCCTTAGCTGTTTCAGGTTATATAGAGGAGGCGGGGGGATGGGTGAGGAAGAATTTCAAGTAATGCTGCAACTCATTTGTGTGTGAAGGGGGTTTTGGGGAGAGAAATCTGGGGGGATACCTTTGTTCATAATGGCTGGTGGGTTTGCATTTTAAGTATTGTAGAGTAGATAAATACTAAAAAGCTGCCTTTTATAAGCAAGGCAGTATTGCTTAAACAAAACACTTGGAAAAGCCAAACTCACACCAAGCAGGTATTCCCATGGGAGCTGTTTCTGGAATTGCAGTTATCCATCTCCTAAACCAGCCTGCCTTCATCTGCCTGATGTTCCATAACAGTGTGTTTCTGTCTTCAGTTCTTACGRAAGATCTGCTTTTTATTCCAGGATATTTCCATATCCTAGGTGATTGGGTTTTGTAATTGGTCTWGAACATTTTCAGTGTTTCCTGAAAAGAAACACTTCTTGTGGCACATAGAAGCACTCGGGTGATYTGATCGTTCTTCATGGATAAGTGAAGATCCACTTGAGTTCATATTCTTCTCATGCAAAGAGCAAAAATAAAGCCCTGCTTCTTCAAGGACAACTCCTGTCTGAGAAACTACTTKAAGCCTTTGATAGGGGAGTCCTCTATTAAAGTAAAAAGAATGAAGATGAATAAGAAAAGTTACCTCTGTCTGGTGTTCTGTTCTCTTCCAGTAAGACAGTAGTTTTTTTCTTATTGCACAATCACTTATGAAGTATCTCTGTTGATACATTCATATTTCCTGTTTTGATTAATCTTAGTTTATGAATATAAAAAGGTGACTAGCTCTTCAGAGACTAGCTGTCTGTTGCATATAGCGGTTCCAAACCTGTGTGTAAAWCATCATTTTCTACCAGACTCTTAATTCTTAAAAACGCCTTCCTCTCGGGTGTAAACAAAAGGGGATACTCTAGTACTTACTGTACCATATTAATGAAATCTGACCTTAAATTAATTTCTTATTTAATCCAGCATGAAAAATAAATAACATTTCTAGTTCCATCTTCAGTAGCACTTTCCTGAAGTCTTGCTTCCAATGGCTCTGCTTTTCCAGGTGAAAATCCTGGCCCARAATGAGAACAGCAAGCTTCAAGCTGCTCTTGTCAGCAACCTGAAGAGTGCAGTCACAGCAGCCTTCCTCATGCTGCCAGAGAGCTTCTCTGAAGAGGATCTTTACATGCAGATTGCAGGACTCTCCTACACTGGTGAGTGTGGGGTCTGGAGTGGCTGAGGAGAAAAGCTGTAGTTGGAGCTGTTGTACCACAGTTGGAAGTCTCATGTGTGATAAAACATTGCTTGGGCCTGCACTGCTGCATGCACCAAAAATTTGCTCTGAATGGTGGCTTACATAACAGCTCCAGAACACTAATTGTGCTTATTCACAGGAAATATGTGTAGGTACATCAGCAAAGCTGCTTATACCTGCTTAATTTATGAACAGCTAAGTGTGAGTGATTGCATGTGATGAAATAATGTGGGTTCTCTTCTGTTTGCATGAATTGTATTTTGGTGTAATGTTTCAAAACCTTGGGAAAAAAATTTTTCTTTCCACTCAGTGCAGTGTTGAGTCATCTGATAGTCTGACTCATACCTTGTCATGTCTTTTTGAGTATGCTGTGTTTAAGGTTCTTATTTAGTTAAGTTAAAGATCCAGATTATGATTCTTTGATACATTTAACACTCCTGATGGGTATTTGTTGAGTTCTTTTTTTTAATCCTTAGTGAGGAAATTTGTAGGGAAAAAAATGGAAGAAACTACGACAAATGGCTCTTCAATATAAGATGTAATTGTTACAGTTCAAATCAGCATTGCTCCTTAAACATTGACATGCTTACTGAAATTACTATGAGCGGTTTTGCTTGGAGTTGTACGTCGCACAGCATATCCTTTGCTCATACAGAAAWGCAAGTTTGGCTCTTAAAGAAGGCACAGGGGACTCTAAGCTGCAGCTTGGCTGTACTTAGGAGTGTTACTGTTTTATGTAATGCTTCTCGGGGCAGTTCAGATTCCAGCTTCTTTTTCATAGCAGTTCTTTTCTGAATTGTTGCTTGTTTTAAAGCAACAGGAAGAGAGTGCTGACAGTGGAATTGCCAGCCAGGGATTTTTGCTGCTTATCTGCCCACCTGAAACCTGTCCAGCAGTGGATTCCTGGTGGGCAGTAGGGACCAAGATCATTCTTTATATATTCTTTGAAACGGTGCAATTAAACAGAAATCAGTAAAATGCTGAGACTGGCTGTACTGTGTGAACAGAGCTGAAGCAATACAGCTCCCATCTGTGAATATTCAAGAAAAAGGCTGTTTGTGGATATTTTATTTTGCTGCCATTTYGTTAAGTCTTTCAGAGGCTATACTAGTAGACAAAATTGATTTTATGTGTTACTCTAATCAGTCTCCTTGGAGACTGCTGAAAAGAGTTGTTCATGCTTTAATTTAGAAAATGTTTATCCTTTATATTTTTCTGCATTTTTTGAGAGCACTGAGTCAGTGCCATTTATATGCGAAGTGTTTGTTTTGTGGCTTGGCATCAAYGGAAATAAACTAAGGAAGGCTAGCAAGTTGCCACCTTTCAGCAACATTTATCTCCTGAGTGTGGGAAGTGGGAAAAGGAATCGATTCAGAACTGTGATTGTTGATACAAGCTCCACTGAACATCTAAGTCCTGGCTGGAAACCCAGGAAGCAGCCAGGCTGGTACCTAACAGAGGTAGTGGAATGCTTTATTACAGTCTGACTGTCTTTTCACTTACTCTCTTTGAAACTCRTCAGTCATGTATTAGAAAAGAAAGTGCAAAGGCCAATAATGTAACTGTGRTGTTAAAAGGAACTTCTTTTTGAAACTACTGGCACAGTGGCTAAGAGTAAAAGGTGATCCAGTGATTTTTACCATGACTGCTATTAGCTGAACTCCAGGTACTGCCCTTGGAGTGCAGAGACAATGCAAATTATTACCCCTCGATATTGGAAAATGTGAGCTTATTTGTTTGTGGATACAAAGTATTAGGACTGGRCAATTTGTTTGGTAATTGTTAAAACTGATATTTGGTTACCAAGAATGTAACTGTTCCTGCCACTTGACAGCTGGAATTGTTTTGCTGTCCAAGTGAAAATGGGRACATTATATTACATCAGAGGCCACATAACAATGTATGCCCTCAAGGACATCTTTTCTGTGCTYGAAGGTGTGAAGAGTTTTTTTTTCATTCTTAGAAGGTGAACCTTACTGCAAATTATATAGGCATTGGCAGAATTGGAAAATAAAGTTTATAGTGTTATATTCTCCTTCATGTTTTGGGTTTTTCTTAACCCCTTAATTCTTTCTTTTCCTGACTAGGTGATTTCAGAATGATAATAGGAGAAGACAAATCCAAAGTGCAGAACATAGTGAAACCCAAYGTTGCCCATTTCCAGAAGCTGTACAGTAACATACTCCTGGACTGCCCTCAAGTGGTGTACAAGCACCATCTGGGAAGGCTAGAGGCAAGTGTTCTCCTTCTAGACAGTTTGAATCCAAGTGGCAGTGCTTTATCCACCTGACAGAAGGCAGGAATTATAYCATGCACCAAGGAGAGCAGTTGTAGTCTCTGTACTTGCTATTTGTTATGTTTCTGTTGTTTAGTTAATTCTGCAACTGGAGGATTTGCCTTAAATACCAGTCTCTGCCTATGCAGGAACTACTGCTCATTTTTTCTGAGTATGGGCACAGAACTAAACCCCAGCAAGGGAACCAGAGCAGATCATTGTAAAATGTGTGTTCTAATTACTTCCATATGGAAATAAGAGTCTAGGAAGTGAGGAATAAACAGATGGTTTGTGTTAGAGACATTAGGCTGTAATTCAGAGGTGCAACTTTTTGCAATCTCACAAAAAACCTCATCAAGTGCTAGTTATGAAGATCAGCTGACTAAAGCCAAGTGAAATTCTGACATTAATACCCATACAAAACCATTTTTCCTTAGTTTTTGGGAAATCCAGAATGACAGTATCTCAAATCCCATCTTTCTGGTATAACATTGCAGTTGGGGGAGAGAAGCCAGAGTCAATGGCAATTCTTTCTCTTGAAATCTGCATGTCCCTGTGTGGATATTCAAGTGTGATATAAACTTCTTACAAATAGCAGCAGTTTTCTCATGGACATGGGTATCTCTTTATTCTCAAGCCTTGGTAATTATCTCCCAAATGCCACCTTTTAGAATGTGTCTTTGTTAGAAATTGATTTAACTACAGGCTTGAGCACARTAAACAATTTTACTGCAATGCCTTGGGAGAAAGCATAGGCAAATCTGTATTATACTGCAGCTGTCTCCATGTTTCYGTATTGATTCTGAACAGTTTAGTAGAAGCAGCATTTAAAATTAATTTGGGAAGGAATTGTAGTACTTTCTTCTAGAAAAAGCTCCCTGTTGTTTTACCTTTAAACAAAWCCCGGTAGCATACTGCAAAGATATTGTTGGATAATAAATCTGTCCATAATSCCATAATAGTCATCAAGACTGTTGATTAAATGCCCTCATTTTCCTGTTGATTTGAAGCACAGTGCTTTAATACTTTTATTGCTCACACCTTCCTCCGTTTATTGGCACTTACTCCCCAGCCTGAGGTGCTTGACTGCTATTGGGGGTGCAGTTTAACACAGARTAGAACTCCCTTCTCCAGAGTATGCAGAGCTACAGAGAAAATTCTGTCTTCAAAGATTCCTCAGCACCAAGGGAAGGCAGCCCCAGTTCTCAGAGTTCTGGTTCAGGCACGGATTCCTCCCACACAATGCTCAGAGCTGCTCACTGTCGGCTGCCTCTGTAGTTGGTGGCTGACTCATCTGGAGATCATTTTCTCCACACTCACAAAAGGGAGTGGAGAGGGCAACCAGACTCCTGTCTGATGTCTCCATGAAGTGGCTAAAACCTTGTGTGGGAGGAATGGAGCTCTTCAGATTTTCCTCCACTTTTGGAGAGCTCTGCCCCATCCTGCATTACATTTTGGAGAAATCTGTACAGGCCTGCTTGTTGATATCATYGTATTCCAAAGAGGATAGTTGAATTTCTGATTTAGATTGGAAAATGTGGGATGAATGTTTTCTTCAAATTATGCAAACCAGATGTGGTTTGGAGTTTAAAGCAGAGCAAATGGTTTTCGGACTAAACTTGAAATGTGTGTGTGTCTGCAATTTGATTATATTCAGGCAGAAGATACTCTGCTAAGTGGTCTTTTGGGAACTTATTTTTTTATTGTAGTGTACTTATGTTTCCAAAGGAAATTGGATACAACAGAAATGATACTGTTTCAATGAAAACTTACTTGCAGACACAGCAAGATCATGTGTGTCTTCCCTTGAATAAAAACCCTTGCACTGCATCATTCTTCAGGTTGGGAACTGAGATSCTGCATTTCCCCGTGCTTGGGAAGTTTTTATTAGCATTGTCGTTGACTTTTGCCAGTGAAATGGATCAGGTTCTCTGATATATTTATCAGAGGTCAATTTTCTGACGTCTTTAAAATAAAAGAGAACTGAATGWTTTTAATTTCTTATTTTTATAACATCCAGATTGACAAAAGTCCAGAAGGTCAATTTACACAACTTATGACTTTGCCAAAGACTTTGCAACAAAAGATAACTGCCCTGGTAAGCCCTCCTGGAAAGAACAGAGATGTGGAAGAAATTTTGCTGCAAGTTGCCCATGACCCTGACTGTGGATTTGTGGTGCAACAGGGTAGGTCTGGATCAATATCTGTAATTTTCTTTAAGACTTGATAGATTTACAAATCTATTGTAAATGTTCTTCTATTTCAAAAGGATGATTTAAAGAGAAGGGTGAAAAAATCCAGGTGAATAATCATGAAATACATTCCTGAAAGCCTGGGTTTGGATTTGTTTGATCACAAATGGGTTATCTGAAATATTAGCAATAACATTCCTATTGATACAGGAAGACRTGTTTTGGTTTGGGTCCTGAAAGAAGCAGCCTTTAGGGAATAGTGTGATCTACTTAGACCACCTAACTCTGATGCTTCCATCTTCAGGCAAAACTTCATCAAAATATTAAACTTTATATCCTGCCAGTCATAGATTGCAAGGCTGAGGTCATTGTCTGCCTTGCTGACATTACCCTTCCCAGTCATGGTGGTTAGCCCAGACATGTGAGCTCTGGCAGAGAACGACAGCTTGGAGGAAAAGGCTGAGGTGCTTCTCATCAGCACAACTGCTCTGAGGCAATATTATGTCATGTGAACAAGTTAAAGCTGATGCTGCAGACACCGGTGTTCTGGTACACTGCAGGAAAATTAAAAAGTTTAGTACTTGGAGTCCTTTATGTATTTTAAGAACTTGACATATTTTCTGTTCCAGGTAGGAAATTTTGCAAGCTCCCTGAGCACAGCAAAAATTCCCTAGATGCCTGGGAGCCCCTAGGCACCAAGCAACTGCTGAGGGAGCTCTCAGACTGATTTTTTKGGGGGGAAATAAAGCTCCTGGGGGGTTGCAGTTCTCCATGGACAGCATAGGATGAACTGCACCTGGACATGGAGGTGTTCAGCTTCTTTCATGGCACCTTCTGTGCTGGGCTGCAGCASTCATGGGATTACAAAAGAGGATAAWAGCTGAATCTGGGAGCAGGAGATGCAGTCTTGGAGCTGTGAGTCACCCACCCTGAGCTCATTATCCTCGGGGTTGGATTTCTGTAGGCTCTGGCAGGCACAGCTGTGACTGCACAGGGAGCAGCAGCTCAGTATCAAACACTGGGCACATCTGCTCAGGCCCAGCAGTTTCAGCTCTTAATAGAACAAATCAAGATGTTCTTTCCCTTTTGTGGCCAAAGGATTTTCCTAATTCATCAATCTGGGTAAAGGCCAGGACAAGCCATTTGGGAATCCTGTTACAAGACAAAGCTGATTACTCAAGTTGAATTGTGTAGTCCCAAGATATTTTGCTACATCAACATGATTTGTTCTTTTCCCTTCCCTATTCCTACCCCTCAGATGATTTTCCAATGGAATACTGTACCGTTACACATGGATTATGTTAAACTTTGTTCTTCATTATGGAAGTAACTTTAGAGGAAGGATTTAAAAATATTTGAAATTATATTCTAAGTGTCAGTGCAGAACAGTGTCTTTCAGCTTGGAAGACTCAGACTGCTGAATTTCTACTTTTTTAAGTATTTAGTGATGTGAATGGTTTTGTACATATCAGTATGCTTTTATATATGTTAGAACAAATATAAATTARCAGTTCTGACAGAAAAGTTTTAAGGTTTTCTACTAATACCTGAGAACCACTGGACAGCAAGAACTGAATGTGCCACAGTGCAAAGTGGTAAACAAGCCTTATCTCCAAAAGCTGTAATTTAGAAAAGCCAGGCAAGYTCTGCACAATAGAGGTATCTCTGCTGGATCAGACAAGTCCCAAATCCCARTTTCATGTTGAAGTAAACAGGTAGTATCATTTGTTCTGCTCTAGAATGTTCATTTACCAGCACTTAGATGAAGCTACTGTGAATCCTTTGTGATTAATTATCTTAGTAGAGAGTTAATGGGAACACTAAATAAAATTATTTGATCAATTCCTACTGCTTGTTGGCTGTTTTAATATTGATTTGGGCTGTTTTTTCAGTATGTTATATAAAAAATGATTTAAAACAGTTTAGAGAATACTTTTAATTAGTATGACAAAGCAGAACCGAAACAAACTTTCTCAGTGTAAGTGTGTGTTCTAATTTCAGGCTGGCTTGATTGTATAACTGGAACAATATTTAACTTGTACATGGTGGAGGGTAAAAAAAAATCCCCACAAATGCTAACATGGGTAACATCTGTGTGCTTTTCCCTCTGCAGGCATTTCAGGAATTGTGAGATCCTCCAGTATAGTGCAGAGTGCTAAAACCATCCTGACAGCTGGTAAGAATGTGTGTGATTTCTGTCAACACAGCCCTTYTGATTTCACAAAGGAAAACTGACATGGCCCCAACATTGCCTTCTTTCAGGAATTTAAAGAGTAAACTTTGTGAGTTTTATTCAAAGTCCCTGGAAAATAAAAGTAACATTTAAAGCAGAGGCTTTATTATAACTATTGCAAAATTATAAAATGCTGAAAAGAACTGGAGTGACTCTTAAACAAATAAACAAAGCCCTCAACAACTCAAAACTAAGGAAAAAAACAACTTCTGAATTCAATTTCATTTTYTGTGCAGGCCAGATTTGGCTGATGGGCACAAGTTGTGCACTTTATGTATTAAAAAGGCTTGGAATTGCTCAGATAAACTTCTGAAGCTATTTCCAGTTCTTCCACTAAAGCGTTRTGTTCAAATGATACCTTTCCTGGGTTTAAGGGCAGCTGTGTAGGTTCCTACTGAGCAATCCTTACCCAGACCTCTCCAGCAGCTGCYCCCTTCCCATTTAGTGGTGATGTTGGTGGCTCCATGTTCTGCTTCTACCCCTCTTAAAGAAACACCAGTTCCAGTATTCAGAACCATGATGGATCTGCTGAGTAAAATAAGTAGGGAGAGTTTCCCTTTTTATATGCTTCTGTTAATAATTTAGGTTCATTAACTGGGAGAAGTCTGATAAAGCTATGGCCTAACTTTGTTTAGTAGCTAGAGGAGAGTCAGGGTACAACTCCTGAGTAAAGCAATTTTTGTCATACATTATTGTAATTTTCTAATGGTTTCCAGCTAAATAGGTGACATTTTTCTTGTAGGGTTTGTTGCCAGAATGACCTGCTAGTGGTCAAGTATTGTGGTATTGTAATGCCTCTTTTAGAAAATTCAGCTTTCATTTTATCAGTTTCTGAATCCATGGATAGTAGATTTTGTGGAGCAAACAGTTAGAAGGAAGGGGTCAAAGACAGTGTTATTCCTGTTGAATTCAAGTTCTCGTGAGTGCCCATGGGGCAATGCTCTCTGTGTAAGTGCAGCAGTAGGAACAGAAATAGTTAAGCTGTGTGGGTTATTTATGTGCCCTTTCTCCCTGTTCTGATGGACAGAAAATCACCTCTGGGACTCGTTAGCCCCTTCTGTGTGTCATGCACTAAATCACTGACAGCTCTCTTGGGACAGGGGCTTTGGGGGGTCCTAATGCATCTCTTAGTAGCACTTGTAACTTTTATCATGTTTTCTGGTTTGTGCACCTGAAACTACTTAKTTTTGAAATGTCTCTATTTTCCTTTGTCTTAACTGCCTTTTGCTTTATATATAGGGATTTTTTTCCATTTAAAACAATCTCTAGGTTCCTTGTTATCAGTCAGTGATGTAGAGTTGTATTTAAAAACTATTTTCTAGTAGTGGTTTTAGTGATGAAAACATAGTTTTGTGTTTTGATTCAGGTAGAGCAAAGCAATTTTGGTCCTTTGTCTCAARCATAAGCCCAGTTTGGGGGARTTGWTYTTTTTTTWTTTTTRTTTTGCACATAATTTAGAGCTTTTTAAAAATATATTTATACTCTTGTGCCAGAATCTGGCCAAAACCATTAGTGACAGAATTCAGGAGTGAAATTTTACTGCTCAGGGATGTCAATTCAGTATTTTTGAGGTGTGATGTTTGTGTGATCTGCCCTGGAATTGAGGAGGGATGGTTGTCCATGGGTGTCCAGGGCTTTAGGAGTTAAATTAGCAAAARCCTTTTGCCCTTTTTTATTTATTTATTTTTTAATATTTGTCTCCAAACACTTATGACTGAGTTTATGTTAAATCAGTATCTTCTAATGATGATTTTCTCTCAGTAAAGGTTTCTTAATTTAAAATGCATCACTAGGGCAGCATTCCTCTGCTGCCCTGGCTGGGCCAGTTCTTGGGGCTCTGCATGTTCATAGGATACAGAATTTACCAGAGAAAACAGCAATGTGGCTCCTACATGGGAGGAGCTTGACTCAAGCAAGGAATGTCTTTTACAGGAAAGTGTGGAGCTTTAGATTCAGTCCCTAAGGATGCTGCATTTCTTTCTTCATTCCTYATCCAAATCTTGTCTGATATTCTGTTCCCCTAAGACCTATCTCCACACTTTCTAGCAGAGATTTCAGGAAAGGCACAAGGCTCTGACCTTCTGCAGTGCTTTATGTCAAGAATAGTAGCTTAACATAAAAGAACTATGAAAGAGATTCATGAAATCTGTGGCTCCATTAAATAAACTCTGACTTTCCATTGCTGTTCCTAGTAACTGTACAAATACTTGGTTTGCAAAAGAAATCGTTTTCATTACTCTATTTGAAGTGTAATAGGGAACACAATTGGTCTTCCTTAGCTGACTATTCTGTTTTAACAACATCAGCAGAAGTGAGCTGCCTGCTCTGGTCCATAGCATGGGAGTTCTAAATTCAACATTAAATCAGCAATAGCAGTGCGGAGATGGCATCCTGGGTATTAACATTACTGGCAAGGAGCGCAAGCACAAGAAGGAATTTCAGCCCATTTAAGAGAGCTTTTTTCATCTTTCTCTGCCAATGTGGTTTGCAAGTCGAGCTCCAGCTCTGTGTTTTTGTTTGTTGTTAAATGCCCTATTTAGTTTTTGAAAATGTGCCTGGGTATTTCTTCGAGTCTGTGGTGARGCTGCCCCTCTGTTTCCCATTAGAGATGGCACCAGTGTTTGATTTATTTTCCCACATAGCCAGAGCCTGCCTGGGCTTTGGGAACTCACTCTGCAGCTCTTATATTTAGCTTCTCTGAAGGAGATGTTGATACTTCTTTAGCTTCTTTTGTTCTTTATATTTTACTCAAGGAATTCTGCAAGCCTTGAAAAATTTTCCATAAATACAACATTATAGATTAAATCATCACTTGAAGCATTTGTTCAAGATCCACTTGAAGCATTTGTTCAAGATCCTTTTAAGTCAGCACAAATGTTCTGAATAGCATTTCTTTTCAAGGATTCAGGGATTTTTTTTTTAAGGAGCGGGTTTACATATAAAGTACTCTGGTTTTGTGGATACTATACTGCAGATCACTGGCTTCATTGTAAATATCTGTAGAAGGTTTGCATGTGTCTGTGCATGGCACATTAAAAATATATAACTATTTGCTCCACATGACAGCTCTTCAGCAGTGCATACATCTCCTTTTCAATAGGGAACACAGGGAATAGTTCCTCCTTTTCCATAGGGAATCCAGGACACTGCAGCCAGGCACATCTACCAGGAAACTTTGGGGGACTTACACTGACACTTGCAAAATACTCAGCGTGGATTGTTAAGTAAAACCAGACACGAGTTGTGTTTACACTGAAGTGCTGTGGTCTCGGTCCCATGTGCATCAGGTCTTTGTTCTGTGTCCTATAGTGGAAAAATCTAAAGGGGAGGTGGAACCACCAAGGCACAGATTCATAACTGAAGACGTTTTCATGTGGTCCAASTGCTCCAGATTGTGAGAGGGAGCCCTAATTACAGCCATTAACTTTTGCTCCAGCTGTGACTCCTCAGCCCGGGGCTGCTGTGGGGAACAGCTGGATGCACAGAGCTGCCTTTGGCCTGGGCTCGGCTGCACTGCGAGCTGCCCGTTCCTACGGTGCTGTGGCTGGAGCTGAGCGAGTGCTCCCTGCAGGGGGASAGGAACGAGAACAATCTGCCGGTGCTGAGCTGCTCCAGGGGCAGACAGGGGCTGAGAGAGGCAGCAGCCTCGCAGGCTGCAGGGCCAGCACACCTCACTGCAGTCCTGCAGCAGCTGTGCTGTGCTGCATCTGCCACATGCTGCACTSCACTGACAGAAGTACCTGCAATTCAATACCAGCCATTCTGCCAGAGCAATTCCTGYATCTTGAGCATTTTCAAAGCCACCSTTACACAGTTTGAATGCTGTAGGWTGGAACCACTTCTTTGATTTGTGCTAAACAGGAATGGTTGATTATGTGCAATTTCCTTGCAGACACGTCAGGCATTTCAGGATTTACATGATTATTTACTTGTTTTTTGAGATGCTGCAAAGAAAAGCCTGTCATGACTTCATTAGTGTGCTTGCTTTTACAAAAACCTAATAAATATGGAAAAGTTCAAGCATTACATATGGGATGCACATGGGTTTGTAAATTCAAAATGCATGTATGGATGATTTCTTAGAAAAGGTGAAGTTGAGTTTATTTTAATTGCAGTTGGAGACATGAGAAGTGCAGAGCTGATTCTGTGCAGCAAATTTGTTATCAGAGGCTTTTTCTTCTGTCACATTCCTTCAAAAATAGAGGGTGCACTTTTGCTTATCTCTGCCTACTCATTTGACTTCTTGCAACTCAACTGTGAATACATCTATCMCTGAAAGTATTTTATCTTTAATTGATTTATTTCTTTTACTTTACTTTTATTTTTGAGGTCTTTCCAAATGAAATAATATTATACCACTCCCATCACCCCCCTCCAAAAAAAAATTAAAGAAGTCCAGTGCAGCAAATGGCTAAACTTGGGTTCAGGTTCCTTGTTTGTTCCAGATCCTTCCTTGTGTTCTGGTCTGTAATATTGTGTAATAAAATTGTGTAAATTTGGCTAAATTCCTTCTGTGTATTTGTAGTCAGGCTTGTCAGGTTTTCAATTAAATAAATATAGGAAAGATTGTAGGAAGGATAATCTRTTATACTTTTAATCTATGCATGTGTCAAAATTAAAGCTTTTAGTGTAGCATTAAAAACCTGCCTTTTCAGTTCTGAATTTGTAAGAGTGTTGTAATCTGAAAAGTCACTCTGTGTTTTATGTTGGGTGTTTTATTTGTTTGTTTTGGGATAATTCTTTTAAACAAAAAGCTGGAGGAAGGAAAAGTGAGTAGCTGCACTGGCTGGGATCTCAGAACCCCCCTGAAATGCCAAGACTAACAATGTTTTGTTTTTAAGTTTACAAATACTCAGTGACTAACCCAGCAAAGGGCTGTGGGTTGTTTACTCTAGGGTCTCTAAGAGGAGGCTCATCTCTGATAAAACTTTAGAAATTGTTTCATTCCAAGGATACATTTTGCAAACTGTGTGGGAGTCCTCAATCCCATCATATCTAAAACCCATAAATGCTCGGAGGCAGCGACTGCTGCTGCATCTGTGAAAATTGAGATGTCTGCATTTGCTGTATGCCAAGTGCRATGTGTGGTATTTACCAGAATTCTGTTCTATTTTCTCTGCTTTGATAGCATTAAATGTATTTTTGGTGTCATTATTTACTGTGTTCTGACTGTGACAAGAAGGTTATTTACATGTCTGCCTGGTGGATTAGGCTGTCATTCCCCTGGGGAAATRCATCATTTGATGTACTAAGCACCTTCTATCTGAGTCAGCCTTCCTAAATGTTGATTTTTTTTTTTGTCTTTTGTTCTTTTTTAGGGGCAAAGAAGTCTGTAACTTACAGCTTGAAGAAATTGTATAAAATGACAAAGGGAGGGTTAAAGACATCTTGAGTCTTTACATACTGTGTATGGGTAAATAAATGGTACTTTTTCTCTAAATATTTTGCAGATGTGACTTTGCATACTTGAGAAAATTACAGTGTATTTAAGAAGTCTCTTCTAAAATGGTTTACATGCTCAATTTTACTAATGAAATAGAAACTTTTTGTAATGGGAAAAGGTTTGTTGGCACTAGGGCAAAGGAATTATACTCTGTAAATACTGAAATGAATTTTCCTGTATATTGGAGCCTGAATAAAAAGGATTGATTATACAGGTGAATTAAAATCCAAAGTCACTCATTTTCTATGTGTTGTTAGCTTTACTTCCCAAAATACCCTCAGAGTCTCTTTCAAAATGATCCTAATTTATATCAGTGTCCCAAATTTAGTTCTTTCAGGGATTTACAGAACTGGAGAATCCATTGAGTTTTAAGTAGAATGTGGAACTGCCCTCTGACATTTCTGCACTGACAAGTTCACCCTTAGAATTCCTCTGAGGATGCTTTGGCAGGGKAGACCTTGGGAAAAGTAAATTATTTCTCAGATGTGTGACATTCCTGAATCCAAAAAACTGTCCCAATAACTTTCAGTGTGGAGTAGAGCAATGAGCAGCTCGGCAGGTGTCAGATCCTTTAATAAGGATATTTAATAATATTATTAAATAAGGACATYTAATAATAATGAATTGTGTGTTCCTCTCATGACATTGAATTGAAAACTGTCCAACTGATGGCTCAGCATTGTCACAAGGGCCAGAGTTGGAAGGAAAATTGTAATTCCATGGAYCTGCTTGGACAGATTTGGAAATAGCTGTTGTTTGGCAGATTTTATCAAAACACTTTAAAATTGGGAATATTATGAACCAAAGCACATACTGTTTGATTCTTTGATTGTCTCTTTCCCCTGAAAATACTGCCCACAAAGATGAAACTTGAGCTCCCTTTAAATTAGCTCWATTTGAGACAATTGGAGTTCTGTATGACATGTGACATTAATCATGCCATGAAAGAATGGGCATTGCTGGCAGTATTTGTGTCTGGTGCAATAAATTGGGAGGATCTTTTGTAAATAGAACATTTTTCACATTGAGGTGGGTTTGCTAATTTGGGAAATTTTTCTTAATAGAAATAAACTGAGCCAATATTTCATTCAATGGTAAAAAAAGGAAATAAAAGATATCTTTCCTGATTAGCATGTTTGGTTTTTTCTTGTGTCTTATGTGATCATTAGGGCCATCTCTCAAGCTACATTTGATTTACTGATCTCACTTTAAAAAATAAATTACTGTTATGAAGTTGTCTGCTAATTGTTTCCAGGGAGCAGTTCAGAGCATAAATTTAAGAAAGACAATAGAAAATACATTGTTGTATGTAATATGACTCATGCAGGCTTACTTTAARCACAAAGAAACTTTAAAATATGGATTATTTTTAAATATCTGAGTTTGAAATTTTAATCCAGACTCAGGAAATAATTACTGTGAAATTAGAAATAAATGGCTTTCTAAGGTCAGAGGCAAATTCCTAATACTTTGCATTATYCATTGGTGATAGATGTAGAATGTGTAAAATCCCCTCAAATGTCCCTTTGCTGATGGCAGGAGGGTGCTGACCTTTTTATGGGGACAAAGAATGTTTGTATGGCACTGGCATTCTCTGTCCCTATTAACAAGAGGCCAAAGTCCCCAAAAKGAAAAGTTTCTATTATAAAAAATGGAACTAGAGAATTGAGGCCACTTAGATACTCTTAACCTTGGGATTTGACTGGAATTTTTTGCTTGCACAAAGAGGTTCCTTTCTAGATAATCCAGAAGTCTTTTAGGCATAGTTTTAAGTTGAATAGGGTGTACTAATTTCCYGTGTAGTGAGGACTTGGAGCAGCCRTAGCATTTTTTACACTTCAGCATAAGCTTTGGTAAGAAATCTGAAATCAGGTGTTGCCTTGCTTAGGAATGCTCAGTGGGAAGGTTAAGAATAGAAAATACTGATCCCAGTGATAGAAACAGCCCCTGAGAGATGCAAAGCTTTTGGACAAATGAAAATGTTCAGGATGGAACCCTTCTGGATGAAATACTCACCAGGTAAGAACTGCCTGGTTCAGTCACCTGAAGAGGGGACAGCTCTGYTTTGTTTATCCCAAATGAAGCTGTCTGTAGGGCAGCCTGCACATGGACAGCAGCCTGCACAAAACACTGATTTTTACACCAGCAGTTTGCTGTCACCTGGTTTTTAGCAGGGTCCTGGGTTGTCTTTGGGGAGGAGGGAAGGAAATCTAAATCTGTGAAAGTCTTGGGATGCAGAAAACTTCAGAAACTGAAATTGAGAGCAYATAATGTATCTGTGTAGGAAATGGGAGGATTTCAAACGTGACCCTTTGCATGAATAGTTAGCAAAAGGATTTTTTTTTTTTTATTTAATTTTACATGTTCCAGCCTTTCTTTTGTAGTTGTGTTTATTTGCTTTTAAGGCTGCAGGGGAAGAGAGAGCCTTCACTCCTGGTGAGGATTTGTCCTTGCCACATTCAGGARGATCACTCTTGGTGAAGCTGTGTTTTTCTGGGTGAATCCTGTTCCTGTAGCCAATTTTTGGAACATGAACACTGCAAACAGAAAAACAGAACTTTTGTAATGTTTTTTAAAAGTGACAATTGCCGCAGACCGGATTGTTAAAAATCTATTCCACATTCTGAATACATTACCAGACAATTAAGGCTAACAACTAAAATGTTATTCCAAATTTTGCCTCATTTATCTGTTCTGTGTGTCTGTTAGAGTGTAACTGGTGCATTTCTGTGATTCCCACCATTCCCTCGAGGATGCAGGTTTTCCAAGGTGCTGCACAGAAATGTGCACGCTGACAGAAAACAAAGGGGACGTCTGTGGTGCACAGATGGAGCTAAAAGTTTTCCACAGGATAAGCCACATGACCAAATTAAAAAAAAAACAAAGGCACAAATTTAGACACTTTTACATTTTAAGGAGCTTATTTCTTTCTGTAATAGCATAATGGAGTGAAGTTTTCCATCATGAGCTGTTCTGGGGAGGAATATCATTGAACAAAACCATCCTGATCAACCTGTGCATTCCTTTCTTCTGTTTTCTTAGCACAAGAAGGGGAGACTGGGGCTTTTCAACCTGGTGAAATAACAGCACCACAGGATATGAAACCTGATCATAAATTCCAACTGCCTCAAGCCCAGGTTGAGAGAGATCATGTGTCATAAGATCGTCCAACATCTGGTGGAGAATTCCTATTAGCAAAACATTTAATCACATGCTTGAYTTAAAATGCATAAGTTATTATTGTTAAATGGGGATGTCATTCCTTTTGGAGATAATGGCAACGTAAAGCTTAGCCTGGAATCTACAGGATTAAAATAAATTGTCCAAATGTGTGATGTGCAGAGGTGTACAGTCCAGTTGGACACAGCTGAGCCCCTCCTGGGATGGGGCTGCCATGTTAGTAAAGCTGGATTTTATCAGCTCCTTCCCTCTGCTGAGTTCTGTTTGTTACCTGGAAGCTGTGGCTGTTTTCCCTTTTGTTGAGAGGAGGTACCTTGGAGGGGTGTGCACACCAGAACTTTAAATAGAATATCCTGTGGGGATATCTGGTATCTGAGAGGCTCAGCGTTTGTCCTCTGCAGTTCCTCACTATTAGTGAGTTTGGGGATGAGATTCAGGTAAATCTGGAATGTTTTCATGAGGAAATGCAGTTGTTAGCATTTAAAAAAGCAGCTTTCTCTTAAAAATCCTTAGTAATACAGTTAAAGAGAATGTTCTGAATGTTAAAGGTGAACTTAAAAGTGGCTTTGGTGTTTCAGAAGGTGCTTGGAACTGAAACAGTTCAGAACTTTAGAGGGCAGTGACAAATCAGTGTGGTGTGAGATGAGCCTCACTCCCACTCTGAAACACCAATCTGCATCCCACACCTTGCTGGCTGAGCATTTATCCCAGAAATAATGTTCTTGTAGGGGGGAAAAAAAAAGTGATGTCCTGCTTGCTGTTTAGCAGGTAATTAAGCATTTTATGTGCAGCAGGGCGTGGGGCCCTGCTCCTCGGAGCTGTTTGTCACCGTCTCTGTGCCAGAGGATCCCTCTGTCCCTCCTCAGGTGTGACTTTCCTGCACTTCCCTGTAACCCGAGCCGGCCGTGTTTGTCTTGTGTCGCTGGACACCCACTGCAAATCTTCATTTGGCTTTATGAAYTCTGTGTACAGCACTGCAAGGGGTCGTTTCTTGCTCTTTGGAGAGAGTTTTGCAAATCCCAGTTGAACAGTTCCTAGTTCCTTCCATCTGTTGGTACCCTGCCAGTATCCAAGTCTGTGCACTAAATCTACAGGAGACGTAAGAAAGTCCTTCCTCCTCAGCCATATAGGCTGAAAACTGTATTCTGCTCTGTAAATCATTTATCTTGTGCTTTTTAAAGAGTGGCCTACCTTTCCCCTTGGGGCCACTGGTCTTGAATGTATTTATTTTACTGGCAGAGAGCCACGAATGAATCATAGCCCTGAGCAGCTTGCTCTGAACTCCTCGCGATTGTTCAGAGTGTACTCAGGGCAGTTGTTACAGAGCTTTGCTGTGGAAAACTTTTAAGAGAAGAGAGATTGATTTCAGCCTTGTTAGCTGCTTTTGAAGTTCCCCACCAGTATGTGGAAATGATTTCTGATGGCCATACAGCTGTAATCCACTAAAATAACCAGAGTTGTTGCACGGGAAGTTGCTACATGGGAATACATTACTGACTCTTTGTCCTAATGAGGTGTGTTTGTTCTTTCACAATAAAAAAGGCACTTTAGCTTTTCATTCCATTTGTAACTTTCCTGTTTATGCCTTCCTGCTCCATTTCCATGCTGCTTTATTGTTTCTCTTCTTCATTCTCAAGTCTTTCGTTCTGTTCTTCAGACATCCCTCTTTTCTGCCTTGGCTGTTCCACCATGGATATTGTTTCATACTCCCTCCCCCTTTTTCCTGTGTAACAGAGCTTTCATTAAAGGCAACCAGGCAGATGATTTATTTCTGATGTCTTAAAAGGCTTCTTTGTAATGAAGAGCCTGGACCCAATCAAACTGCTGAGGGTTTGTGTAGGTGAGTCAGCAGCATGGCCTCGCTGCYTCTGACATGCACCGTGCCAGCCGAGTGTGTAACAGCCTCCTGCTCCAGAGGGAATGAGCTGGGTGACACAGGGAGAAGGGAAAATCACAATTTGACTGGATGCATAATGGTTTGGCTGCTCCTAAACTCGATTTGGGGAGTTCACAAAGCTGAACCACTCAGAGTGCTGATCTCCATCAGCACACAAACAGCATGTTCCTCATCACTTGCACATTTCCCTTTTTTCTGAGTGTTGGAGCAGGGAGATTGTCCARGTGCCTGGCTGTAGGACCTTCTAATTCCACCTGTGTCTGTAAATGTAGAGCCTGAATTTCTCACCTGGCCTTCTCTGAGGCTTCTCTTCAGATTGTTTGGTGACCTTCACTGCCAGCAAATTGCTGTAACAATGCGGTGTAATAGCTGCAACCTGAGCATGAGGAAGGTGCCTGTGGGCACAGAGAGCTGAGCAAGGGGGATCCCTTTCTGCTGGAAACACTTGGCAGCATCTCAGAGCTTCCTGATGTTTGCAACAAACATCTGTGCCAAAAGTGGTGAGATCCAGATGGGTCTAGAGGCATTCCTGGGTGGCTCAGGGAAGTGAGCCTTGCTCTCACATTGAGGGGGTAATGCAAGAGCCCGCTCTGGTTTGGGAAAGCAGAATAAAACAGGGCCCTTGGTGAGTGTCCAGTGCAGGGGATCCAAGCAGGGCTGTGACTCATGCCTTTTCCCAGCAATTCATTTAAAAATAGATTTGAAGTTGAAATATGCTTCTGAAGGTCAGAATATCAGGCCAGTGTGTGTCTGATAGCTTTTCATGGGGAAGGTGTTGACAGAGGACAAAGTATTCTTCATTTTCAGAGTCACTCTGGTGGCCTCAGAGTCTGTGTAGAAAATGGATTTTCTTTGCATTGCCTACTGCAATAGAATAGAGATTACCTCTMCACAGATATTTTCTGCCATGGTTTTTGTTTTAGGCAGTAGCTGCTCTGTCACTTTCGATATTGTGGTTTCATAAAGTTTTGCAGTGACCTTATTTACCTGTTTTTCTAGATAACAATCTCCACCACAGTTGCTAACTGATCCTGAACTTAATGACTGCCTTAGGGAGAGGCAGTAATCACTTTAGTCCTGCATGTTTTAACCTCTTACTCAATCAGAAATTTTGTCTAAGTTTTAGTACATGAACAGGGAGCTTCAGACTATACATTCTGGAATATTAATGAAAACTCCAATTATTTTTGTTACATCTTTAGTCTAAGAACTTCCATGTCATTTTTGTCTTCATAATCCAGCATTCTGCYAAATCTTTTCCAGTAGTGGTGGGGGACTATTTGGATGGTGATACRCATTTTCTTTCTGAGAAATGGAAGGTCTTGCAGCTGCAAAGACAMTTCTCTGATCTGGCTGAAACTTTCTGCAAGTGTAGTGGATAGAAAGGAGTTCTTCCTGGTTTTAAATTCAAATAAATTTCATTTTTAGGAATTTGCAGTCACAAGGCACTGTCTTTAAAAACAAAACAAACCAAAAMCTGATCACARCACTCTGTGTTTTGGTTCCTTCACTTCTCTTTGTTGYACTGTGAGACCTTTGAAAGCCTGGAACCTGATGTTTAAGATACCTCCCCTACTCAATTAAATAATCCAAGTAAATAATAAAACATACATTTACTGAGTTAATTTGTATTGCTTCTCTCCATGGGATCTCTTTAGCTCCATGGTGCACTTGGTAAATTTGAACGGTTGTGTTCCCACACAGTGATTATTTGCTTCATCTCTGCCTCCTGCCAAAGTTTCTCCAAACCTCCTATTTTAAAATTCACAGTGAAGTGTGAGATCAGAGCATTCAGTGGGTTTTTTTGTTGTTGTTGTTTGTG